GGATCTCGCAAGCATTCTCAGCTCTCTTGTTCCCATAGTAGTATGGCCAGGAGCCCCTAATAGCGTCTGAACGCTCCTAGTAGCGATGCCAGGAGCCCCTAGTAGCTTCTTGTTACTAGAAAACTCCAACGCCATAGTAAAAAGCTTCTTGTTACTACAGGTGAAACGATTCCCAAGGAAGCTTCTAGCTACCGGATACGTGGCAAGTCACACAAGCGATGCCGCAGCACCAACGAAGAAATGGAATAACATCAGCAATCTCCCTCTTGCCGTGCCTCCATTTGTGCTCGGATGCTTTTGGATCCAATCAAAGGTGACGAACGGAGCTGATCATGTCAGACTTGCTTGGAGAGTTATATATACTTCTTGTTTGTTGCACCTACTTCGTTTGCTCTGTTTTCAGGTTCGCTGAGGGGAAACCGATCGAAACAAAACACCAACCATCTTGGTCGTGTCTCGGTTGATTGTACTTGTCAAAACAGAAGTCCCAAGAACACAAAAATCATCAAGAGCGATCCAGGTGTGATCGAGTTGCTTGTGGGCCACGCTAGACTTGCACCGTTGAACTGCGCCCTCTTTCATCATGTCAGCGTCAAGCCAAACGGCACAAGAGGGCAAGTCAGAGTGTCCAGCATAACAGTACCCGAAGGGTACCCGAAGGGTCCTTAATGAAACCCGACATCTTCGTGGTCCCAACTGACTATCAGGGCAAGAAATATACCCACAGGGGAAGCGAAGCCGACATGGTCTTGGGGGAGAAACCAAGAGTTAGTGGAAGTTCAATGATCTTCAGGACTGCTTGTGCGTCTTGTGCATCTGTGGGCTGTTTGCTCAGGTAACTTGGCCGACTCCGCACGAAGCCGTGCAGTGGTTCTCCAGCGAAGGTCGATCTGTGGGGCGAGTTTCGCACGGGAAACCACATGCAAACCCAGAGGTGTCTTGAAATCGGCAGACCTGTCCGGCTTGGTGCTTTTCTTCCCTAGCGATGGCCTCCAACCTAGCGATGGCCTCCAACCTTGGTGCTGTTCTTCTCTTTTAGAGGATCTTTGAAGGTGAACTTCGGAAAAACAACGACCCGCTGCCCTTGAGGGCCTTTGACTGGCTTGTGGGCGAAGAAACCATGCTGTCCGGGCCCGCCAATTCAGAGTGTGCCGAAGACTGAAAATGGGATTCGGATAGCTGTGAAAAAGAAAAACAGAGAAAAGCATGATATCTTAGGAGATTTCGACAAAGCAAATCTCTTAATGTCGGTAGGCTTTGACCCAACTCTTCTGATACTAGGACACAGACCTCTCGTCATTCCCCTGGCGTTCGCCAAAACCGGGCTTTTGGCTAGGTGCTTTTTCCAGGTAAGTTGAAACCTGGAGGAGTGGAGTAGCTGTTGCCCTTGCCACTGGTGGCAGTTTTGAGTCAGTTCTAACAGTCTGGTTTTGGGTCAACCCTTCAAGGCCACCCTTGGAAACAAACCAGTGATAGATACTAACCTTCCAAACACTCGCATTTATCTGCCAACCCTCGGGGACTCCCCCGGGTATAAAGGAAAAACCTCTTCGCAACACAACCACCTCTGGCCGTTTCCATCCTTTTTCTTGGGGCGCTCCCGAACTCTTCTCTGCTTCATCCGCCCAGCTTGTAGGCACAAGGGCATCGCAGGTGCATCGCTATGAACGGAGCGATCGGACGCTACGAACGGAGCAAAGCTACTAGGAGCAAGGACGCTACGAACGTACACTCCGAGACCCTGGTCTCTCTGCCGACGGATATCGACCCACGACCTGGGCTCGGCGGAGTTGCTCGGCGGGAGAAGCGTTCCAAACCGGACGAGCTTGATGGACTGGAAACACGTAAGAAGGAGACTTGATCCACACTGTTCAGGCAACCAGCACTGAAAACACCTGCGGGGGCTCATGGGGGCTGGAGTTCGAACACCTGAAGGTCCGAGAAAAAGAACGAGTTGGGGGGGCTCCCATTCCACTTAGAGTTTCCAAAAAGGACCCCGCAAGGTGCAATCCCTGCTCATTCTCGATGTCCATCTGGAAAATAGTCGAGTATTGAATTTCTTGGTGCCATAAAACTTCTTAACACCATTACCAGCCGTACCAGAGGTCCTCCATTCAACAATATAACCATGTAGAATCCTCATGTCTCCTCCTTTTGCTGGACATGCATCCTCCTCATGGATTGGTTTGGATCAACCAAGAATGTCCTTTGAGTGATATGGACGTGTCATAGGGAGATCTCCCGAAGACCCCCTAAAGGAAGGAAAATAGACCAGTCCACCCATGGGGTCAGGGCATCTCCCTATTAAAACACCTACCCAAATTGACTTGGCCATCGCTAGGGGCGGTTGGAGGCCATTGCTACTAGGTTGGAGGCCATCTCCCGATTAAAAGCCATATCCAAATGAGATCACATGAGTTTCTCCATGCTACTAGGAACAAGTGCCACGCTAGTAGTAACAAGTGCCTTACTAGTAGTAACAAGAAGCTACTAGGGGCTCCTGCCTTACTAGGAACAAGAAGACTACTAGAAACAAGTGCATCGTTCCAGGTCGCAGGGAGTGCCAGGCACCCACGCCAGGCTCCATCCAGGTCCTGTGATGAGCTCTCTGTGACGAACTCCCAGCATTTGAGTGAAGTTAGTCGACTTTCAGGGATTTGGGAGCATCACAAAACATCTTTATACCATCAACCATCCGCAAAACTGCTGCTGGAAAGAATCTTTACTTGGCTCGGTTGGCCGTGCGAAGTGTCGCAATCTCTTCGCTGTCGACCTGACCAGGAGAATCTTGCGGGGAAAAACTTTTGAGTTCCCCTAGACCAGCACGCCGTAGACCTGGCCTCACCAAACCCATCACATTTGCGAAATAAACCGGGGATGGCCATCGCTAGTAGGTTGGCGGCCATTACTAGTAGCAAGAAGCTACTAGGGGCTCCTGGCCGTACTAGGAGCATTCATAGAAGAAGCTGGTAGGCTGAAGGCTGCTACTCCGACCGTCTCACCAGTGGGTCGCTTCCTTTTGGGTCGCTCCGGAGGACGGTGCTCCGGAGCGACGCTTCGCCGGGTCTTCCTCGGTCCGAGACCGTAGTGGACGACCGGCGTTCGAAGACCCGGCCATGTCGTGCCTCAGATGATATGACCAATCCACCGAGCCTTTAGCAATCCACCGAGGAATCCCAGGAAGGCCGGTTGGCTTCAAAGAAACCTCAGGTAGAAGTAGATCTTCGGACCGGCAAATTGAACCACAATCTGCAAACATTGCGCCGTATTTTTTTAAAAGGAGGTTTTCCCCAGCCCCAGCCAAATGATCTCCATTCCAAAGTCTGACTGGCAGCGTTTCTGGCAGCCTCTGTTCTAGGAGAGTTCCTAGGTCACTATGGATTGAACAACCTCATGTTTGTGGTCTTTCCCATGCCGAAAGTGCCGGCAAAAAATGAGGCAAACATCGTCATTCCATGTCGGCAGCGTGTTTTTAAGCAGTTGTTGATGGTTGAAAATGGTTGAAACAACTCTAAGCGGTCCACAAGTTGCACATAGCCACTGGCCACAGGTTCGCTTGATCCCTCATAGCACGCAGCAGGTGATTGGTGATGCTGGTTGATCCACAGCCTGTGTACGCAAAGAGTTCACTGACCATAGACTACTGTACCCGGAGTCTTACCTGGAACGTGCGAACGGAGGTGATACCCCTGCCGAATGTTCGGCATCCCAAGAACGACGCTGAACACACGTTTTGCACATGTCGCAAGCAGCAAGAACTGAAACTCTATAACTCTAGTTTCAAGAAGCTCCTAGGAACAAGTGCATCGCTACTAGTAACAAGTGCCTCACTACTAGTAACAAGAAGCTACTAGGAACAACCTCTATAACTCTAGTTTTTTCACAGGGCGACCCAAGAACTCACGCAGCCATCCCCACCGAGTGGCCCCAGTTCAGCACACACTCGTCGTCCATTCTGCCGCGCTCTCAAACCATTCTGCCGCCAGTCGTCCACTAGGGGCTCCTGGCCGTACTACTATAGGAGCAAGGACGCTACTAGTAACCAGTGCCTTACTAGTAGTAACAAGAAGCTAGTAGAATTAAACTAAGTTAATTAGAATTGTAACTACTAGCAAAGGAATCTATTAGGACCTTTTCGCGCGCGCGTGGGGGGGTAGGAGCAAGGACGCTACTAGGGGCTCCTAGTAGCTTCTTGTTACTACTAGTAAGGCACTTGTTACTAGTAGCGATGCACTTGTTACTAGTAGCGAACCTTGTTACGGGAGCATCCTTACTACGTTCGTAACAAGAAGCTCCTAGGGCGCCACGGTCTCGGTCTCGCGTCTGGCACGACCACGTCCCGACGGGTCCGCGTCTCGACGCACGACACGGGCGCGGAGCGGACACCGAGAGAACGACGGCGTGGGCGACGCTGTCGGAGCGTCCATGCGATTTTGTTACTAATAGCTTCTTGCTACTAGTAGTAAGGCCAGGAGCCCCGTTCGTAGCGTCCTTGCTCCTAGTAGCGATGCACTTTGTTACTAGTAGCGTCCATGCCATACAGGTACATCGAAATTCAAGGCCCAAGGCTTGGAGTGATGAAGCATTGGAGGTTCACGTTGTTACTGTGTATAGTAGTTACTGAGGTACATGACAAATCTGAGGTCGGATCATGTCGGATTGTATCAGGTCAGACACCTTGCATCTGAACCCAGTGACCCGAGTTGAGTCTTCCCGTTCCCACCGCAGCAACCTCAGCCAAGGGTGAAGACCCTCTTGGCCCTTCGTTTCTAGACCCTCAATCATGAAGTCACGACCGGTAAGGATCCTTGGACCCTCCTTAGAAGGGGTTGAACCCTCTATAACAAGGGTTTGTACCCTCAAAACCCTGGTTTTTGAGGGTGCAGATCCTTAGGGCAACCAACTTCCAACAAAATAGGAACACCCATCTTTCACCAGCACCATTTGTCCGCCAACTCCGTCACGCCGTCGCCCTTTTTCGTTGCACGAAGAGCAGATGCTTAGAGCACCTGCGGAGGGTGGACGAAATGGCGTCGTTGTCCTTTCTGGGGCCAATTGGTCACCTGTCACCAGCTTTTGTGGGGCCATTTTCACTTGACTTGCTTGAAGTCTGCCTTTTTCTTACCGCTCCAATATTTCTCATTGAAGAAGGAGCACCCCTGGGAATTCTGTCAAAGTTCTAGTTGCAGTCATTCCAGTCACTTAGAAGGCGCGAAGAATCGGCAAGACACGTGCAAACACTGGACACTTGCATGTCTTTTTTAAAAGGCGTGGAAGTTCGATATAGATGGAGGCTGCAAGTTTCGACTGTATGTACCGGAGACGCCGGAGAAATAACTTATTCTTTCCGGAGGGCATACCTTTGCTTGGGACCGTCACACAGCCAGACAACCGATTCAAGAGAAACTCCTCAACCGATTCGCTCCCGCGCTGGCGCTGCCCACATCCATCGCCTGGCTCGAGCGTTTCTTCTGTAGCACCTGATCCAGCCACGCTGCAGAGGTCTGTTGGTTCAGCACACTGCGCACGGAGGGGAAGTGCCCATGCTGCACGAAGCCGGGTTCTTGACCTTGGATAGGATGAGTTACGGAAGAGGCCACCAAAAGTTCGAGGACTTCCTCCTCAAGAAGCGACCGCTCAGAGCAGTTTGGAGGTTGGGCGCAGGGCCATGGACTCTTTTTTGCTTTTGCAGGAGACAGATTCGCAGTTCAAAAACTGAGTGGAGTGAAGCTTGGAGCAGCTTCCCCCGTCAGCAATTGATTGCTTTTGTGCACCCGGCTGTGGTGGTTCTTTGCACGGCAAGTAGGACATTGGTTGGTCATCCTAAAGCTGTTCAGTTGAGGGTCAAGCATCACCAAGAAGTGTGAAGAAAACACATCTGGAGATCTGCGAAGTGCAGATCCTTTGGGCTGTGAGATAACAACACTCTTGACATCTGCCAGCAAAGACTATTTGCATCTGCGACAAATTGCTTTGCGTCTTGAGAGGGACTTGGCATGGGTTTGCAGATACTTTCTGTTGTTAAGGCCACACCTTTTCTGGGAGATGAGACGTGGACGCCGCCACCAATAGGGAGATTGTTGTCAGTTTGTCGGGCTACCATTTTGTTTGATCATTTGGGGGATTTCATCGCTTGGTCTATCCATGACCAACATGTTTTAACTCACGACGACTTGCCGAGCTGGGCGACTGGAAGGGACTGCGTAGTAGGCCACTCGATCGCTGATCTGTGCCAGAGCCACGTCGTTGGCTAAACATCCAGGTGTGGAGCTGTTCCAGATCTCCTGGGAACGCGAGGAACGAGGCGACCGGGGCGCTCCGCCGCTTTTGATTCCGACACTTTGGATCTTCATCTCACGGGGTTGTCGCCTGCAACCTAAGAGCCATGGGCTCCAACCTAACGGCGATGGCCTCCAACACAGGTGCAATGGCCTCCAACCTAATAGCGATGACCTCCAACCTAAGAGCGATGGCCTCCAACCTAACAGCGATGGCCTCCAACCCAAGAGCCATGGGCTCCAACCCAATAGCGATGGCCTCCAACCTAACAGCGATGGCCTCCAACCTAATAGCGATGACCTCCAACCTAATAGCGATGGCCTCC